AATAATTGAATCCAGATATACCTACGTTTGGTAAAACGCCCTTCTTACCCTGTCTATTTTACCGCTAAAGTTGCGAACTAACTAGCTATTTTGTCCATCAACTGACGGATATGCAAAATGCACAACAACGTGAACCTTAAAATGGATTATCGTCGACCTTGTAAGCAACACAATATAAAATTATATTTTAAAACTTCAAGACATTGTATCATAGTGTGGATTTTCGAGATGTCCTGAGAGAAACCTCTTTTTCTTGGATAAAAAGTATTATAAAAATACCAAAATGAAATAGGTATGATAATAATAGAATTTACTCATCTATATAAAAAAACTGTTTCCAAAAATGTTTTATTGATAACACTAAAACTCGTCAATAACTCTAAATAAAAATAAACGATTGAAAAACTCAGGACAAAGAGGTATTGTAATTTTTGATCTTTGCTTATTTATTTATAGACAAATTAAACAAATTTATCCCACGGAAACCGTACATTTGTCCGGGATAAAGAGTAGCTTATGTGCTATTCCAGACTGTAATCTATTTCTGGCAAAAATTGCATCCAGATCCGTTCAGCCGTTCTGGCGTGATTGAAGAACAAACATCCAAACATCTAAATTTTTACATTTATAATATTGAGTAAGATATATGTAAAAATTAAAGAATAATAAATAATCTGAGTTAATGAAAACGCTTTGCGAATATAAAAAATGATATTTCAAAAGTACTTGTAAAAAGAGTTCTAAGTAATAATATTCGAGCTACAGTCGAGAGCCAAAAAAATACATTCTAACATTATAATTCTATAGTATAGCTCGTGGTACTGCACTAGCTTTATCATTCTAGTTTTCATTAACCGCGGCACTCGACATCACTTCCAATTTGGTCCGCTTAATAAAATGCTATGACTTGTTTGTTTAAATTTCTGCTAAAAAATTAATAACAAAACATAAACCGGCTTTTAGAATGAACTACTAATAAATATTTAATTTCGCTTTTAGTTATATATCTCGCTTTAAAACCTGATAAAAAGAGTTTCATTTTGAAAATTATTCAAAATGAATCTTGATTTATAAGCTTTTATCGTTTAAAAAATATTTTATAAGTAAAAATTGCTATACGTTGATTATTATTATAATATAGTCTAAAATTAAAAAAAAATTAAAATATTTTGATATGTCTCCAACGTTTCAAATGGCTTATAGCAAACATGGTCAAGGAAGAGTCTCTCAAAAAATAGGTTTTATGTTAAATGTCAAATATTCAATTCACAATTGGTGAAGTTATGGCGTAACAAACATAAAAAGCATACAACTTAATTAAGTACCATTTCCTTTTTGAAGTTAAAAGTTTCCAAGCACGTATACCTAGAACTAACTCGTAGCTCAACCATAGTTCACTGTCACCGAATCAGTATAAATATAACTTCAACTGCTATTTTTGGTTAGCACCTAATTTCTACCATTCCTTTAGCTCTTATCATCCGGTTAGTGCAAAAAATAATGTTGGTTTTAACATACTAATAATACTTTCTTCGATTATAAGCGGATATTTGACATTTAAAAAATATATTTTTAGGGAATTTTTCGCGGATTTCTTTTGATTTTGACAAAAGATAGTTTTAACATACACACATATTGATAACAACTTTTTTTGCTGTCGGTCAAAAATTTCCAAGCACTTAGACATAATGACAGGTTCAATGCCAGATGAAATTCGCTTCAAAATTCACTCATAATTTTTTGATAAAACAACTTCGAACATTGACAACTTGAAACTGGGGATCTCATTCCCAATGCCCAATTCTGAGTCTACTCGGGACATTACGGTTCTAATTTTTAAAAATTAGGGTCGGTACACATATCTAAAATTTAAACAATTAATAATTACTTTTTAACTAAAAAAGTACACGACTTCAAAACCACTTAAAAGTATTTATTCCAGACTTAGAAATATTTTTTTTCTACAACTTATGTAGTCGTACATAAATTCTCCTATCCCTTGAAGGCTTTGCTTAAAAAAGAATTCTTAAAATCGGTCCAAAATACTAAAAAAAGAAAAAAAAGAAAATTGGTTGACCAACAGAGGAAAAAAAGCACTGAAATCTATCGACTTTGTCTTGTATATAGATTAATACGCAATTATTATTATTTTTAACCGACTTCCGAAAACGAAGAGGTTCTCAATTCGTCGGAATCTTTTTTTTATGTATGTTCACCGATTACTCGAAGACGCCTGAACCGATTTGAAAATTTTTTGTTTTGTTTCAAAAGGTATACTTCTCAGGTGGTCCCATATAAATTTTATCGAAATCAGTTAAGCGGTTTTAAAAAAAATCAACAATAATTTTTTTTAAACAAATTGCTTAATCGAATATGTAATTAAAAAACTTTCTTCTTACAAATTACCTGCTTATGACGTCTACACTAAAAATGGAAAAATAAAAACTTTTTAACAAAAAATAAAAACCGACTTCCAGGCACTAAAATGTAAAAAATAACTAAACGGAGGTTTTCATTTAGAATAGATACCTAATCAGATATTTTCGAAGTCGGTGCTAGCCAACAATATTTTAAGATCATATCAAAATGATTTGCTTTGCATCGGCTGGCACCGACTTCAAAAATATCTGATTAGGTATCTATTCTAAATGGAAACCTCCGTTTAGTTATTTTTTACATTTTAGTGCCTGGAAGTCGGTTTTTATTTTTTGTTAAAAAGTTTTTATTATTATTTATATATGTATGTATGTGTTACACTCGTTAAGCCTTTATACCATATATAAATACTCATTTATGTAATCTATACATATAATAAAATTGTAACTAAGCCGAATCTGTACATTAAATATTTTTTTGGAAAATCTTATTTGAATAGACATTATTATCGATACAGAGGCCGAATCTATAGTTTTTAGAGTTTTTGCCTGTCTGTCTGTGTGTCTGTTACCGCATCACACAAAAACCACTGGAGGGATTTTGATGAAATTTAGTATGGTGATAGCTGGTTATCCGGGTCAACACATAGAATACTTTTTACCGCGGGAAAATATCTCATTTTTGAAAAAAAATACAAAAACTGCAATGTAAGAGTATACTAATCTGTAAAACCTAAGAATTTGGTTTTTGGTCATCGGAACGCGGGCGTAGCCGCGGGCAATGCTAGTATATTATATGGACGGTTGATGTCTAGTAGTTTAAATACTAAGCATCATTACATCCCACGGGATAACTTAATATAAAATAGGCTGCACAGTGTGTAACAGCCCTGAAGCGTTAATACACAATGTTTTATGAGTTATTTAAAACTCTATAAAGTTATGAAAAACAGTTTCAAGACTAAAACTTAATGGGGGAGCCCATTCCCGTGTATTTATAGTAATGGCAACCGACTAAAACCTTTTACGCACTTAACTTATACTTTACGTAACTGTCTACCAACGAATTTACTGAAGAGAAATGATATAAAAACATGCTCCACAAAAAATTGAAAGGCGATTCCACTTACTATTATTTCAGGAATAACATTTCAATTCAAAATTTTAAAGTAAATAAAGTAATTTGGTTATATTTTTAAAAAAACGCCTCTGAATTACTTAGGCTCGTAATATCGACGAAAGATTACACTCATGTCACTCTCATATTTTGTACTACAAATATAAGTTTAAATAACGTGGATGACTAAATAGCAAACAATCCACTCCATTTTTCATTTAATTTAGGGAAATGCATTTACGTATACCACCTGCATACATACAAGTTATGTGGGACTCACCGGCTAAAAAGACCAGTATTACCTACAAAAACCCAACAGAACCTCCCCAGTGTTAATGGTTTGTCGCAAGATTGTTTACACACTCAAACAAGACGCTCCAAGGATAAGCTTGTCCAAGGGGAGATTTTGATAAAATTTGGTATGGTAATAGCTAGTTATCCGGGTCAACATATAGGATACTTTTTACCGCGGTAAAATGACTCATTTCTGAGAAAAAATACAAAAACTGCAATGTGAGAGTATATGTACTAATATGTAAAATCTAAGAATTTGGTTTTTGGTCATCTGAACGCGGGTGGAGCCGCAAGCAATGCAAGTATCTTATATTACTCAGATCAAGTACTGGCCATATGAGAACTTCACACGGTTAGTCAGGAAGTACTCATAAATCCACTACATGACCTAGAGGAAGCCGTAAAACTTGTAATTCCAATTCCAAGAAAAAACATGGGCGAATCACCATAATAGAAAATGTATACAAAAAAATACCTCTTAAAGCTCTTTTGTCGGCAAGAATTATACGAAATTCAAGATTTAACAGCGACCTAAAATATCCAATACGAACGCTTGGAGACGACGGATGAATTATATATTATGTTTTTATTTAACCTAGCTTGATTAATTCTTTTCCATTTTTTTTCGCAAAACTCTAGAGCCTTTACATTATGACAGGCTTGGAAGAATTTATTACTGTTGAAATTTAAGGGTACATGTAATAGGGTAGTGCTTTTAACAAATTTGAACTTATTGATTGCTTTCGGAACGTCGAAATAAGTTTTAGTGTTCGAGGAAAAATTATGTCTCGTAAAAGCTCGTGTAACATATGAGCCTGTGGCATATATATTTACATTTGACATATATATGAACATATATTTTGCCTCGGTGGTTTAGTGGCTAGTATGTGCGGCTGCAGATGTGGAGGTCTTGGGTGCGAGTCTTGGGTCAGGCCAATCATAGTTATCGGGTTTTTTGTCAAGAAAAAATGAAAAATTAACGAAAAAAAAATTAAATTTATATGGCTAACGCTGGCTAATAACTATTTATATCTATTTAAAACGTACCTAGCGACGAATCCGAGCGTAGCGAGGATGAGCAGCTAGTATTTTATATATTTATTTAAATATAAAACGATGGTAACGAAATATAGAGACCGGTCCCCATTGAGTGAATTTCCTCTTATTCGTTCCTAAATTAACAATGATATCTTGTTTAATTAGTTATGAAAATAATGGTAATAAAAAACTAATTAAGTATCATTTACAATAGAAAAGATATTCTTGTATAGATAACACATAAATAGCACATGCTAACATTTATCCAGGCTTTAAGGTATCAGAAAATTGCAAGAAAAATACCAAGATAACTAAATATATATGTAAATAAGTTTTCAAATAAAATAATTAAAACTAAGCAATTCTCGAGAAGTATAAGCAGTGGCAGTACAGTTGTGACGCGCTCGCTTGGGAAACCGAGTGAAGCGAGTTCAAATCCCGGGTCTCGCACCTCTGATATTATCATGTGTGAATCATTTCCAACATGATTACCACTTGTCTTAACGGTGAAGGAAAACATCGTGAAGAAACCTGCATGTCTGAGAGAACCTAGTAAGTTTTCAAAAGACATGTGAAGTCCGCCAACCCGCACTTGGCCAGCGTGGTGGACTATGGCCTGATTCCCCTCGTACTGAAGGGAGACCCGTGGCCAGCAGTGGGACGTTAAAAAGGGCTGAATACATAAATTCTCGAGAAGTTCGCGGACCACAGTTTGGGAAACACTGATGTAAACCACATTTTAGCTCCCTTCATGCACCAAACTATTAGTACGACCATGTTTACGAAGTAATTCCTCTTAGTTAAACTAATAAATAACAGCAAAGCTAAACATGTAACGTATAAATTTTATAGCGAATCGGAATACACGAGTGTAATTTATTGTATTGTACGTGCATCGCGTATTCTCTTGCGTATATCGTATATATATGTAACAAACTTCCGCCTAAGAAAATACCTGTGCTGTAAAATAAAAGCTGTTGTTGAAAAATGTTGATATTTATCTTATTATATTAAATGAGCAATACTTGTAGGTATATTTATTTCGTATATCTGGGAAACGGCTTTAACGATTTGGATTTAATTTTGTCTATCTATATTTATTTTTATGTACAATAAAAATATATACATATACATTAATCTTTTCTAAAAAATTACAATATTTCTAATTTCATATAAACTTACTATATTACTTTTCATATAACTATTTAATTTCAATATAAACTAATTATTATTAAAGCCTTTTCTGTCTGCTTTCATGCTGACGATACCGTAGCGCCATCTCGTAAATGTTTCTGGTACTTGCAATATCGCCAATAGGTGATAATCTACCTACTGAACGAGTGCCTACGCCGAGCGAAGCTCCATCCATCTCTTTACCGGATGAAAAGTATTTTAAATTAAATATATTAATATGTAAACAAATATTTCGCACATTCTATATAAAGTATGGTTAAACAATGTAATTTATTTTTAATTGTTTATTTACTTACTCTCATTGACAAATTGTACACACAAAAATAATAATTTGTCGCTTACATTTAACATATCAACTTCTTTAAATGCAAACAAAAAATAGTGAATCGTCCCTAAATGCCTTTTTTATTTATAACGAGAGATTTGCCCTCGCTTCCCTAGGTATGTTTTAATTTTTGTGAGCGGGACCCTAATTATTTTTCTAAAATAAAAGTAGTCTAAGTTACTCCTTATAACATCAGCTATCTGCCAGTGAAAGTCTTGTCAAATCAATCCAATGATTTAGGAGATTAGCCGGAACAAACAGACAGACAACAGTTTTTCTTATAAGTACCGTATATCTTATGCATTTAGTAAAAACCTGTTATTTTTACATTACAAACAGACAGTCAATTTTATTTATCTGTGTAGATATTATTTATCATATGCTGGCAGTGCTAGCTTTTGGCGACATTTACTAATAACAGTAGCTTATATAATATTACTCCAGGAGATATCTATTTTTGTACTAATTGTTATCTAAATCCAAGCGTTTTGTGGATATTTGTGATAGAACATAAAAACTTTGCAAGTATAATGATATTAATATCAAATATTTTTTCTTGCCAACAGGTGTCAGACGACATCGGCTACGTGATATATTCGGCTTTGGGAAGCTTTTACATACCGTCCTGTATCATGGTGTTTGTATACATACGGATATACTACGCCGCAAAGGCGAGAGCGAGGCGAGGTATCCGGAAAAACCCTAGACCAAGGCCGGTGAGTTGAAAGTATAACGTGTTCCTACAAAAATTTTATAAGCACTATTTATTAAACACTATATTCTATATTTTTCTAAACTTTAAAGTGACGAAACTACAGGCATGAGATATAATAGATATATAAGTTTCTAGAAATCCTTAGTAAATAGCCTGGGTAGTCTAGTGGCTGGCATTTAAGGTTGGAGATCCGTAGATCCTGGGTTCGATTCCCAGATTGAAGCAAGTATGGTTATTGAGTTTGTCGATAAACATTTTCAAGTGATAGCCCAGAGTAGAAATGTTGGCGGCGTCACTCCCCAGAGTCTCGGAAAGCACGGAAAGCCGTCTTGCGTCTGATGTCTCATCGGTCATGTCGAATAGTCGTACTACCGGAGTTTGAGAGAGAAAAAACTAGAGTGTTGTACGCTACAAATTCACAATAATGGGAACTGGAAATCCTTATTTTTAATGTTACAAGGGCAAAAGTTGTTTATTTTAATAGTAAACTAACGACTTACTTTTGCTTCTCTCGGGTCAAGTCCCTAGGCTTGAATGGCTTATGAACGCATAATAATAAACGTCTAAAGAATTTTTTTTTGCACCAGGAACCTTCGCAAACGGGATAGGATAACCCAACAAAATCTCATCACAATCGGATCAATAGTTTAGGAATGCATAGAGCACAAACTACAAACATTCGTTTTATACGAGTATATCTATATACGGCGACACGGCGGTGAAATCACGTTTAATTTATCTATATTATTTATAGGGTTTATAAACCGTAATAAAAAAATGAATGTCATGATTTTGACTTTTTTACCAGTTTTGAAACTCCCCTGAAATAATAGTACAATTTGTATTCAACCCCTTTTTAACATCCCACTGCTGGGCACGGGTCTTCCTTCAATGCGTGGGAGATCAGGCAACAGACCACCACGCTTGCCAGAGCGCTTTGTGTGGCTTGGCAGAGTTCACGTGCCTTTTGAAAATTTGCTAGGTTCTATCAGACATGCAGGTTTTCTCACGACGTTTTCCTTCACCGTTAGACAATTGGTAATCATGTTGAGAAAATCAGAGATACAAGACCCGGGGTTTAAACTAGCTTCATTAGTTTCTCAAGCGTGCATTACCACAAGCAATAACAATAGTATAATACTCCGACTAAAGGAACATCGGGTGTATAGTAAAAACATAAGCAAAATAAAGGTATTTTATGATTTTTTAATCTCTCAAAGATAGGACTTTAATTTTATAAAAAAATATTATAAAAAGAAAAATTATATGTTCTTCTACCTGCCAGTATGAAGAGAGCCTTAGTAATTTCATCATTATGTCTTTTAATCATATGTTCTATTCATATATTTTCTTTTGAAATACATTCTCATATGTGAATAACTTTGCTTCTTATATAACGTATATCATAGTGCAGTGCTACTTTTTATTATTAAACAAGTCGTAGGATCGATTTCCATTTTAGGTAAAAGTAAATATTTATATAGACAAAATAAAAAACCTGACAGAATAAAAAAAGTATTTTAGTAATAGACTGTTTTATAGTTTCTATATAAAATGGTGGATGTTTTGCCAAATAGACCAATAATCGTCCATATATGTATTATATTAAAGTAACGACAAATACCTAGCATATTTTTTTTCATTTGGATATATAGACATTTTGCCTCCTTTCGGAGAAATCGGATATAATGTCATATTCTGAAGCCTCGTGTAATATTCTCCTTATTATATATTATATTTATGACAAGATACGCTCGTAAAAAGGCAATAAAAATTTTGCTTGTAATAAAACCTGTATATCTCGAACGACTGTCGCATTGTCAATTAGACTTTTACGAGTTTTGATTTATCACACCGTTCAGTACAGTGGTAAGACATGATCATTTGCAAAATCAATAGTTAAGCCGTTTCAAATCATGGGGATGCACCTCAGATATTCTCATGTACAAATATTTTTCAACATGACTACCACTTACCTTCGAACCTGCATCTCCAGAAGAACCTAACTAGTTCTGGAAAGTTTTGTGAAGTTCGCCAACCCACACTTGGCCACCATGGTGGGCTAATCCTGATCCCCCTCGTATTGAAGTAAAACCTGTGCCCAGCAGTGGCATAAAATAAGGACACACTATTCTGTACATTGCACTGGTGTTGCCAATCGCAATTCGCAAATTTGGACTTTACTAAGTAATGTATAGATGTTAGACCAATACATGGAAGACTCGATACGTCTTATCTGCCAATTTAATAATATATTTTATTCGAATACACTTTAACAAGCACTTTGAATTGTGAAGTGTCAGTGTTATTAGGTAAGGACCTACTCCAAGTCCGGAGTGTGGTTCTGCGAAGAAGAGGCGGCAGAAATGCTCTTTTAATTTTATAAAGAGGAAATATTTGTTTGTTTGTATTCGATAAACTCTTTTTCTCTTTTATTGCTATTTAGTGTACAATTCTTTTAACTCAAAAAAACATCATTTATTATTTAAAAAGTAACTAAGTGAAATATATATTAAGTATTAAACTGAATTAGTATCTCTTCAGGAGGTTTTGAACTAAAACCTATAAAAGCCACATTTACATCGAGTAAGAATCGATCCTGTTCTACAATTTTATTCTAAAGCTTTTAAATTAATCATGAAATTTTATTACAGAATGAACAACAAACGAGCTTTACAAATGCACCCAAAGGCACTCGGCCGATGCCGACCTCTTCGCTATCTATGCCGCCGGGGGTAGACGCTAGCAATTCTAATAATAATAGGTAAGGCTGCATACACACCTGCGACTATTTCAATAATTACACAATCCTACATAATTATTGAAGTAAAATTCTATATAGGCTTATTATATTTTTGATTTAAGGTTATAAGTTTTAAGCACACTAATAAAGATCAAACAAAAACTAAAAATTCTAAACAAAATCAACAACAATTTCTTTTACATTATGGAAATCAAATATGTCCAACAGCAATATTAAAACAATAAAACTAAATAAAGTAGAAAATAATCAAAGTTTACAAATATTCTTAAATATATAATCCATGCAACTCTACAAGTTCATATCTGATATAGGTTGCCTGGAAGAGATCACTTTAAGTGAATAAGGCCGCCCTTACACTGAAACAATTTTGCATATCTTTGTCTTCTTTTCAACCGACTTCAAAAAGGAGGAGGTTCTCAATTCGACTGTATGTTTTTTTTTTATGTTTGTTACCTCAGAACTCCGTCATTTATTAACCGATTTGGACAATTTTTGTTTTGTTTGAAAGGGTATACTTCCAGATTGGTCCCATTTAAATTTCAAAAAAAAATACCACCCCTAAGGGTGGAAAAACAACTAATGATGAATTTAACCTACTTCTAATTGTCATATTGACTTGAAACTTTGCAAGTATTTCTATTTCCGTTGATAGTACAGTGGTTCGGTGTTGTTGACCTGATCTGATGGCAAGGCTAGAAGATGGATAGGTGGAACTCTTCAACGGCTAATAGTAGATACTTTGAGTTTGGGCTTATTTTGTTTGATTTTACAAGCCTAACACGTTAGAATCCTTACTTTGCTACTACTGTCTACACTAAAAAGGGAAAAATAAAAACTTTTTAACAAAAAATAAAAACCGACTTCAAACAAAAGCACTAAAAAGTAAAAAATAACTGATTGGTAGTTTTCATTTACTATACATACCTAATCAAATATTTTCGAAGTCGGTGTGCTTTGGCTAAGTAATTAAAGCCTACCTTTTAAATACATACCTAATCAAATATTTTCGAAATCGGTGCCAGCCCATACAAAGCAAAGCACACCGACTTCAAAAATATTTGATTAGGTATGTATAGTAAATGAAAACTACCAATCAGTTATTTTTTACTTTTTAGTGCTTTTGTTTGAAGTCGGTTTTTATTTTTTGTTAAAAAGTTTTTATTTTTTTATTTATTAAATTATATTTTTTTGATGTAATATAATGGATAAAATAAAAAAAGTGCGTGTGTGTGCAATTCACACACGGTAGAAGTGAAACTTCAGAAAAGTAACCTACGAGAGAATGAGATGAATATAGAGTATCAAAAGTAGGATAGTTGAAAGGTTTATTTTTTTATAATATTATCATCAAGTTTTAAAGTTATTTTACATTTTATTTATCATAAATTTACATTACATACTAATAAGTATTAATTTTATTATTTATCACTTCCTGTGTAATGTATTCTATCTCATTCTCTCGCAGGTTAAATCCTATTTATGAAATATGTTTGTCTCTTTTTTGGTGTCGCTTTTTCGTTTCATCGAATTTTCAAATCACAAAGTTTATTACTGAAGTTTCACTACAATAATAAATAATAATAATGTAAATAACAAAGTGTTTGAATTGCAGAGAAAGTCAAATATCTACAATAGAAACACAGCAAGTTCCCATACCGGTGGTGACTTGTGATTTTGCCTCAGACATATCGACGAGTGAAGCGGGGGACATGGCGCAACCATCAGACGATAGAAAGGATACGTTAAAGGTATACATACATCTTTAAGCTACCATGGTCATTGACAATTATCTATACTAATATTATATATACTCTTTATAATATTATAATGAGACAGTTTATTTAATACTTTCTTAGATTTACGGGAATATTTGACATTTTAAATAAAACTATCTTTTCGGATTTTGTCGCGGATTTATTTGTATTTTTGTTTCCCGACGTTTCGAATGCTTTACAGCAATCATGGTCACGGGAGAGACTCTCACGTGACCATGATTGCTGTAAAGCATTCGAAACGTCGGGAAACAAAAAAAAATACAAACAAATCCGCGACAAAATCCGAAAAGATAGTTTTATTTAAGAGACAGTTTATTTGTTTGTTTGTCTTTCACATTTATAATATTAGTATGGACATGGATTGTATTTAATTTTGGTTCATTTCCAGCTTACCAAAAGCCATAACATTAAGTTTAAATTAAAATAAAAAATGATAATATTGCAATTGAAAATAGAAATTAGGCCATTATCATTTTATTTATGAATATATTAGTATCACTCATAAATTAAATAATAAAATAATTATTACTTAATGATTTATTATTAAAAATAATTATTATGTGTAATTATGATAACAGCGATTCGATTAAAACTTGTGATAATTATGAAATCTGATTTCATAAAATAACAATCTACGACCCGTAGATTCAAACATCTCGATCTTTCTGAAACCTTTTATAATGTCCATTAACTGAGGGAATGCATTTTTTTCACTCTAAGAGCTATACTTCCTTACAGTTTTATCTTAATTTCTAGAAAAAAGCATTAATTGTTACCCATTTGAAGTAAAACGAGGGTTCCTGGATCTTTTAACTAACTAGATAGTTTGAAAGATAAATTCTAAACAAAAAATATTCATTTTGGATTTCTTCGCGGATTTATTTTGATTTTTGGTTCCCGACGTTTCGAATTCTTTACATAAATCATGGTCACGGGAGAGACATTCGCGTAAATCTAAGAAAGTATTATATCATTTTTCTTTAAATGAACCTATTAGGTTAAGTAATCATAAATCAAATCCAATCTCAATATAACAGAAATCAATTTATATCATATACTCAAAGTTAAACTTTATGCAATTAATTGGTTAATTATTGGTTCACGTTTAAATACAACAAATTAAAATGCATTCAATTATCGAATTTAAACATGAAAATAACGAAACTGATAGGTACATTAATTTTCATTATTTGATCCTTTAAAAGGGTTTTATATCACCTTATACAGAGGTGCATTTTCAAAACATAACATGTTCTTTTATTTACTAAAAAACAATATTTATAGTATCGATATTGAAAAAACATGAGCACTTCCAGCATTTCGCTTTATACTAAAAAATACTAACGTCTCATCCTCGCTTTGCTTGGGTTCGTCCCTAGTTTGACACACTTTCATCCCCCCCCCCCCCATTAAGGGATGATTTCTGGGATAAAAAGTATCCTGTCCTTTCCAGGGTCTCAAACTTCTTCTTACCAAATTTCATCTAAATCGGTTCAGTAGATCCAAAGATTACCCCCTACAACCTCACAAACTCACAAACTTGACTACTTTACAATATTACTCGTAGTATTAATATGACGTTCACTAAAAAAATCAACCTGTATAGAAAATATTACTATTTAAAATTCATTTCAACTTTTGAAATATTATTAGCTATCCTAAAGAGAATATATAATACACGACATTGAATTGACATGTGAAAATTTCCAGCGCCACGTACAAGTATCTTAAGAAAATGTTACTCGAAATTCATATATAGTTGGTAACTAGGTGAGATAGTTATCTGATGGTCTATTCTAGAGAAAATTGAAAAATACATTTATTCAACATATTCCCACCTGCAGCCGCAAAATTCGCTGCGAATTTGTATTCGGAGATTTATTTCACTGGGAATATAATTTGAATTTATTTTCTTCATTCGAAAACGTGAAAGCCTGCCATTGTTGTATAACACATGTATGTCAAACAAAGTATATTTATCATTACTTGACGTCGCTTCGCTCGGGTGTCGACTAAGCTATTTTAAGATAAAGTCTACCTTTAAAATTCATCTTAATTCAAAAGTAAGAAACAAACACACATACAAACATACAAACTTTTCCATTTATAGTAGTGGTCTAATTATAAAGATTCTGCCTTGTTTTATTTCGGCTAAGTCTTAATGAATCATGCGAGTATAACTTAGATTTTACCGATATAGCTGATATAGAAAATCGTTGAACTAGCCTACTTTCAAACTTATTATAACTTTTTAGATAATCAGCGCAATCATATTGATTAAGTATTGTTAGGAACTTGTGCATAAAATATACAATATTTGATATTAGTTAGAAGGTTCCCTATACATTTCATCCTGGAAGCTCTCATTAGGGACGTTTGTTCCACTTAATTCGTAAATATCATTATACCTGGGGTTCAAATATATTACATTTGAAGGGTACAGGGAATGTCCTTATAAGTAGGTTATCAGAAAAAAACAAATTAAAGCTTAGAAATTATAATACTTCAATTGGGGTCAAATGATGCACTAAATTTTAACTATGTACATTTTTGGCCAACCCACTTTACCGGTGTGTCATGGGTATTCCTCCAGTTCTTTTCGCTTTGGTCATAGATAAAAACATGTTTTTAGCGACATCCGTTGAGTATTTGCAAAAACCAGTGGTTGGGAGTGCAATTACCATAGACATAGATTTGTTACCAGTACAAAACAAAAAAAAGTGATATTCTCTTTTCTTTGCCTGTACCCTTCGGTTATTAATTTAATATAAATATTAACCCTAAAAATTGGATCCACTTTCAATAAACCATAGTTTCATTGAAAACAACTAGATTATTTATTGATATAAACATGCTATTTCATACTGTTTCAGGTGGTGACATCAGCACAAGTGACGAGAAACCCCTTAGCCACGTGTCCCTATAGGAGTTCTACCCTTTCTGTGAACGGTGAACTTCAGTTACAATCCCAAAGAACGAGAGCACCTAGTATGGCGATAGACTCTGACATGGTGTCAGAGTTAGAGCCTTCATCTTCAGATTCGGGAGTTGTATCCCGATGTGCTGTGGTTAAACCGTTAAAATTAAGAATATGTCAGCCAATATTTGGCAAAAAGAGTGATTCATCTAGAAGGCAAGAGAAGGCTCAACCCACAAAATCAGAATTAGAGCCAGCGTTGCCCAAACAGCACAAACCTAGAGACCCAGAAAGAGAAAAGAGAAGATTAGCGAGAAAGAAGGAAAAAAGGGCAACACTAATATTAGGTTTAATTATGGGTAGTTTTATAGCATGTTGGCTGCCTTTTTTCTTTCTTTATATCCTAAAAGCAGCGTGTAGAAGATGTGTGATACCGGGTAGCGCGTTCGCCATCGCGTTCTGGCTCGGTTACATGAACTCTGTATTGAATCCTGTTATTTATACGATATTTAATAAGGATTTCAGGCGAGCTTTCAGAAGGATACTGTTTAAGTGATGTTTGGCTTACCTGTGCTGCTACAGATGCGTCGCCAATAGAATCCTGTTGGCTCAACAGCGGGCAGCACCAGGTCTTTACAATGTGCGTTGATCATCTCTCATAGACTTTTGAGTTACATTAACAGTATACTGTATTGTTTAACGGCCAAAACTATCTTCCAATTGTTCATCCTATCACAGATAGATATTTGATGTTACTATCATAGTTGTCAAACTATCTCCAGTAGGTCAACAGTGAGAAAGGTTAATGTCGGCTGTTAGTCTATTTAAAGAATAATGTGTTCATTTGTACATAATTATGTTCGATGTCTAGGTTTTTCAAAGTTTATAACAGAACCTCTATAAGGAATTGATTATTTTTATATTAGTTGTATAATTATTAGCTCCTGTTAACTGATGGGGAATTAATATCGGCTTTTGAGATAAATCTATGTAATTTAGTTTAGTCCGAATTCAACATGTAAAAGTTAGTCTTTGTATATTCGATGATATTTTAAGTCTATGTGCAGAATATTTCAAAAATTAATGCTGTGATTTGAAAAAAATATTTTAAAAGCCATCGTGTAAAGTTTAGCAACAAATAAACGGTCCCTCTCTTTACTTTGACGTCGAAACACAAAGGCTGACTTTTTTGTGTTACAATCACTGTGAATATAGAAAATACAAATATTCTAATGTAAAAAGGAATTGTAAGAAAATTGATTAGTTTTTTGGTAGAAAACTCATAGTCTATAGTTATTAAAATAAAGAAACTGCAAGAACACTAATGGATTTGAAATGTATAGTACATATTGTATCTAAATTAATTCCTCTAATAATACTTGTAAAAATTATTAAAACAATATTATTATATCCTAAAAATTATAATTTTATTAATAAATATAACGTAGCTTTTTCTATTCTCCCATAGATTTTAACTACTTGTTATTTATACTATACGCTTTATACGTACAAAATAGATGAATTTTATTTACTTATATTATTGTTATTGCTTAATGTTCAAATATCACATTTCTTCACAAGATTCATAATTTAATTCAATAAATAATACAATATACACCATAAAATCCAATTCAACTTCTTGAGTTCGAGACGTAAATGAATACCTACACATAGTATAAACAGTATATTCTCGCAGAACTCATAAAAGCCAATCTGTGAACTTTTATGACTAAAACCTATTTACATACGTTAACTCAACCCAAGGGGAATCCCCATACAGGTTGTCCATTGACACATACATACACACCGTCTGTTTGACCGACATGACCAATACAAATACGAGTATTTACCACAACCTATGATGGAGGCAACCACAGGTGGTCAATTCAATTACGTTTATAATGAAATTTATACTAAATGATTCACTATAAGTAAAAGTTAAATAAATTTAACAATAAACAGCTATTTTTTCATTTTATATCTTAATTATTTTTTATGGCAACGATTAATCAATGCCAGCCATGTTAGAGAAAATAACGGGAGTCCATTAAAAAAAAGACAATTCAACAAAAGCTTTTATTAACAAGTTTTAATTAATGTTTCGTGGTTTACTACATTGAAATACACTTAGCCGCGTCGTAACCACACATTATATTTGGGTCAAACAAATAAAAATGTATTTAAGTACCTAAGAGATATTATTCATTTTGTAATAATTCTAATATTATACACATAAATAAAATCTTCTCGGATTTTCCTTTCTTCTCCTTTCTCCTATTTTACTCGAATCTTTCCGGGTTTTTTCGCGGATATATTTTAATTTTTGGTTTCCTTTTGAGACTCTACAACCTTAGTCTCCGTGACTATGATTGCTAAAGGCTTCGAAATGTTGGGTTTCAAAAATCCAAAAAAAGCCGCGTAAAATCCGAAAAGATAGTTTTAATTAAAATGTCAAATATTCGCGTAAATCTAATAAAGTACACATAATTTATTTATTTTAACGATTTTTTCATAATGTGATTGTTATTGTTTAACTTTGCAAATTATCCAACCCAAAGCTATGACTGTTTAAAAGTAAATATAACTCTCGGTTTTAACGACTACATAAAAATAAAACATTATTTAGATAACAATACAATATTTCATATACTCTAAAAATTAATTAACTTTCATGTATATTACACAAATTCCAATTACAATAATTCCAAAATTAATTATTTAAAAGTGAAATTAAAATATTTTTTATATTTATGAGCTTATTTATAATATTTATGATTTATGACTTTATTTATCTTGTGAAGAGATGTTTTCTATAATAATAACGTCATTCATTAGCTGACGATCAATCATTGTAAAGATATGGTGTTAGAAAATACTTAGTGTTTTGTAAATATTCCGTATTTTTTAATTTATAATACAATAAATATACCTACATTTATTTATATTATTATATATTATTAATAAATAACTAAGCAATAAAATAAACAATATATGTTGAAATAAGTTTCTATAAATATACATGAATATTCTGAATAATATTTATTTTTGCCTTCATTAATGCAAAATATTTACAAAACATTCAGTAAAATTTAGAATAAATTTATGATATTTAAATAAAAATGACTGTGCCTCCGTGCCTACTGATAGCACTTCAAAAATTCGCACTTCTTAATATAACAAATTATTTATAATATAATTTTATTGATAAATAATTAATGTAAATAAAATATTCAATCCCTTTTAAAATTGTTCACAACCAATTAAAATTATTTATTTATTCATATATTGGATACTTAAAATTTATTATCCAATTAGTGGAATAAAATGTTACTTAACAAGCAATTTCAATTGCGCAACAATTAATTTATCGCTACAATTGCATTACATCAAGCGCTGGTCGCGTCTATTTCAATTGTACATATATTTAACTGTAATTAGATTTAAAATAAATAAATATATATTACGGATTAGAATAAAGTATGTAATATACTAAAAATGAACACCAAGTCATTGTAAATCTTATGATAATAATAAAATATTTTCTATTCGAATATAATAAAGATATCTTAACATCGTTTCAACGTATTTTATAGTGAATTCAGCATTTATTGTATATAAGCTTGCATTATACTTGTTGCATGTAAAAATTATAATTTATTTATTAATAATATATTTAGAAAAAAAAATATTTATCAACTGAACCTGTGACTGATTATAGTTTTTTTATAAGTTTCTCTCCTACAATAACTATGTAAATAAAATAACCAGTATTAGATATAATTATTACGATAAATTTTAAATGACAACGACTATTTAATTCTAAATAATGTAAAATAAATTCTCATTAGAATCTTATAACCTTAATATTTAGGATGACAACACCATGGCCCGTTTAGAATAAAGTAAGCGTTTCAAAGAAAATAATTTTGAGCAATAGCTATTTCGTTCTCTTAATAATGTTTCATAATTCATATATTGTCTTCCAGAGTGTGTGTGATCTATACGATGTAAATTTAATGAATTTTATTCCATTCGTTTTGATATAGACACCATTAACACGTTGTAGTGAGATTTTAATTTTCGCACGTAGCAATATTTATTATTTTTTGTATATGCTGCCAAAGATTTTTGAAAATTTCTAAATATTATGATAAATTTTAAAAATTTTAATGCAGAGTAACATATATTAAATGTATTGTTCCATATATCTAAAACCCCACAATCCTGCATAGAGCCCTTGCAGATTGTGACGTTTTACATAAAAAATTGTATTTAAACGAAAATATGTGGAAATGATATATCATTTTTGCATATTTTCCACTAAAATTACAAAATAACGCAATAATTTTTATTAAAAAAAACAAATAAGTACTCTTATTCTATATCAAGTTCATGAAACTTTTTGTACAGTTGACATATTATATCGCTGATTCAGTTAGTAGCCAGATAGGGTTTTTGTTTTTTCTAGACTAATCTAATAATCTAGACATGTTTAATAAAGTTCTAAAATCCATAATAATTTATATATATATATATATATATATATATATATATATATATATATATATATATATATATAACTAGTAATATCTAGAAATTTGTTGAATATAATTTTTAAAATTTCAACTTTGTTATGTTTTAATATTCTTTATAATCTAATACGATACAATTATTCTTATCGACTCGAAATTGTAAATGAAGAATATACGAAGTACCAAATATACAAGTTTTAATCTTTACCCATTGTTTTAATTACTACCTTATTTATGATACACGTTAATATTATTAGTGTGAAAGTTTGTTAGTTTGTTTGTTATCTACACACTGAAACCGCTCATAAATATGAGTGAATTCAAATGTGTGTGTGAAATGAAGTGGAGTCGAGGGCGTAAACTAGTTATAATAAAGTACACTATATATAGAAAGACAAAACAGTATTAGTACCTCTTTCTCCTCTGTCAACCGATTTGCTTTTTTCCATAAAAAATATATCATTAATCAATAAAAAAATGATTATGGTTAAATTTCAAACACCAGGCAAACACTAGTCTATATAGAGGCTCATAAATAACTTCTTAGATATAACATCTATCAGGGTATGAAATTATCAAGATAAATATATTTTTTGATAATTATCAAGATAATTATCAGATAATTATTCGATAATTATCAAACAGATGTAAACTTAGCAATTCTTATGTAGGTATTGGTATTTGACTACTTGCCTATCATAATTTACGTTAGAAAAAACTTTTAAGAATCAAGGTAATCTTTTATTATTATTATTTTTTCATAATTTCGACACATACAAACTTGGAAATAAAATATAGAATAAATTTAACCAATTACATAGACACTGCTTAATTAAATTAAAGGTCCCTGCCCACTATACAGTCTCATACCATGACCGTGCTAAGACCGTGTCCGGCAAAAAAAATTTCTTTGTATTGAAAAGTATGAGACTATGCCCACTAAACCGTTCCATCACCGACCAAGACCTTTCCGTCACCAACAAACATCGTCGCGTGCCGTGCATGGAAAGTTAACAATAATTGTCGGTAAGAATATTTTGCTGGCGCCGATACGCTCCGTGCCTGGCACGCGACTTTGCCGAACCGGCGCGCGCGGACGGCGAAACGGTGAGCACACGGTTATAACT